GTGTTTTAAAAAGTTGACAGAAAAAGAGATAAAAAAGAAACATTTTCGAACAATTCATGTAAAGAATAACTGGAAATGTATGGAGACTGACCAAGAACCATTATACAAGAGCCACACTACGAAGGTAACAACGTAGAAATCTGTCGAGAAGAAGGAAACAACAACTGAGTAACCCAAATGTTCTTTGAATCTATTTAAACGCAAGATTAATTCTTACACTGAAATAAAACCACTACGAAAATAGCTGGTTGTTCTCATTCACTCCAATCGTGATGTTGTAAGTTAAACAGATCCTTTTTTATATTTATTTTAACCTTTAGCTAATAGTGCGATTTCTTAACTTTCTGAATAAATATATTCTATAAAACTCTGAAATAATTAAGAGAGAGTTTTATTTCAAAATAACTTTGTCACTGTTGTTTTTAACTGTTACTTATTCGATAACTTAACGATTTTGTTTGACGTTATAAAATATATTTTCATCAAAAATATTTTGACATTTATTTTTGATCATTCGCTTCAGAAGATTTTGAGGATTATAAATATGAGCTTTAACTTCACGACATCTATACTGGTAATATTTTTTATTTGAGGATTATAAATATGAGCTTCTTTAACTATATGACATCCATAATGACAAGACTCTATTTTGTATTCTTTTCACTCTAACGAACACTTTTCTTGTCAAGGAATAACACGAGTATGTTATTACACAATAAAACATCTAAATGAGTGTAAACCTCCTCCACAAGGTATTCTGTAATATTGTTTGAAATGAAACTAATTCTTTGGACACAGGTTTACATCTTGAATAAGGGTGAAGGATTATCAATTAAAAGACTATGCAAATGGCATGATCTTGTTGAAGCTCAGTATGTAAATTAAGTAGTCACATGACTAATGGTTTTGGAATATATAGTTTGCACTCTTTTATTTTAAATTCCTGAAGATGACATATTGTACGTCAAAACCTGTAGAGTGTCTGTTTTGAGACCTCGCACGACGACTTTATCAGGATCTGGGAGGGTCAGATTTGATCTTTCACCTCTCCCCTGCACTGGTGTTTTGTTGCACTGTTAAATGTTGTTGTCACTGTTATGATTACAATACCCCTATCATTGTCATGTCCATTTATGTTCAACGTTCATCATTAGCACTTTACTTTATTTGTTATGCTAAAGTCTTACATAGTACAAACAGAACCATATAATCCAGTGCTGGTTCATCCTGTAGTACATTTTTATGAGTATTTACATAAATAAACCCTTTTTAATACATAATGTATACACCACTCAAATGATATATTAAGTAAGTCTAGCAGTTGGTGACTGATTACTATTCTTATAATACATATTTATGGGTGAGAGGTACTTAGCTCATTTCCATCATGTATGATATGGCGATCCAGCGTGCGTAGTAATTCCATTTTTACGTACGTTTTTTTTTTTTCTGAAAATACGAGAACAACCTGTTTAGAAGTCTGTTGTATGTTTGCATAATTATATAAGAAATAAGAATTTGTTGTACGTGGGACTTTGTATGCACTTGTGAGTATTGAATTTTGTACCTTGGTTTTTATGCACTTGTGAGTATTGAATTTTGTACCTTGGTTTTTATGCACTTGTGAGTATTGAATTTTGTACCTTGTTTTTTATTTAATATGGCGCTACGTAAATCCGTGTTGGACAGGCATACTCTATTACCGGCTGTATGTACTGTTTGTATTGTCACGTCTCCGCTTGTTAATTAACTTTCCGTAACTTCGTTCCGACGAAACTTAAGCGACACAAGTCCTTTCTTAATAAAACTGATTTATACTTTCCGAATATAACTTTACCGATACACTTATTTCAATATTCGCGCTAAAACAAACACTATAACAAACGAACGTTAACTTCAACAATACCCTGTGACTGCAGTTCAATTACTCACTGTCTACACACAC